GATGCAAAACATATTCCTTGTTGGTTCCCCTTTTTATTTATAGGCAGTTGGAGAATAAGTACCGATACATTACTGAGGTAAAATAGTGTTTGGAAAAAACTCCATTAACAAGAAAAGTCCAGATTTTAAATATTGAACTACAAGTTACAATAATACAAGTATTGTCATCAAAAAAGTGCTTAAAGTATCAAAAGTTGAAATATTCATTGTCCTAAAAGTCTCCTTTCGAAGTATTATAGAGCAGTAATATTCAGTTTTTACCACCAAATATTGCATTTTAGAGAGTTGTATTCTTCTAGTCCGGTCAAGTTGAGACTATTTTAAATACTTTGAAGCATAGCATGTTTATTTTTACATGTAAAAGTGGGTAAATCATTGCCGTGCAGTAAAAATTACAATATTTACCTCTGAAGTGTAGTGAAGTAAGTCCATAGAGTATCACAAAATGGATCAAATATATCAGGTTATGTCAAAATAGTACTTTAGTACTATTGAGTAAATATCCTTAGTGCAATCCACCACTGGATATGGGCACGTTTTATTCCGTGTTTTCACTTTTTTCTCCTCTGACTTCTGCCTCTCTGCCTGTAGTTGATGGAGGCGGTCCACAAACAGGAAGAGATCAACTACAGACTCCAGGACTACATTGACAAAATCATCGTGGCCATCATGGAGTGCAACCCCTCCATCCTCGAGGTCAAATAGACTCCAAGCAGCCAGACGGCCGCGCACAGTGACTCCTCAGGCTGTCAAACACAACCGGAGACTTGAAGAAAGCTACCAAGAGAGGATGTAAAAATACTCAGACACCATTTTGGTAGGAAAACAACGACGCACTCGACTCATCCCCCCGCCCCCCCCCCCCCCCTTAAAGAGAAGGATCTAAGAAGGATTTCTAAGAAGTCTGACGGTGAAAATCAAGCAGTTTTCAGTTCCATATCCCTTAAGTCTGTGCTTATTTGTGAGTGTGAGTGTGTGAGAGTGTGCGTGTGTGTGTTAGCCCTCCTGAATACACTTGGGTTCTGGTGACCTCCATGTATTTGGCTAGAGGGACCCGAGTCTTACTGTTAAAAAGTAGAGAATCTTCAAAGTGTCAATGTTTGATGGAGCTAAAACTCAATCAGACAGGTACCGAAAGGCCTTAAATGAAAGGTGATCCAAGTATCCATTATCACATGCCTCAGTTCAGTCAGTGAAGTGTTACTGAGATGGTGGTAAGTAAGAGGCTTCGATCCCCTGAACCGGGCTGAATTGTGTTTTATTCACAAGAGAGAAAGCCGTATGAAGCTGGGCGGGAGATCGGAGCGGCAGTTCCCCTTTTGATTTGTCTTTAACGTGTTTAAAGCTTGCGGTGCTTCCTTAATTCTGTCCTCTAACTGTCCTTTCCATCGGACCCAAGTGAGGGACGTTTCTAGGCGTCGAGGATCAGAAATGCCCTGAGGGTTCTTTGTGTGTGTGTGTGAGTGTGTGAGGTGTTTGACATTTATTTTGCGCAGTGTTGCTTAAAGGTTTTTGAAAAAGCTTGGTGACACTAGCGAGTAATATAAGCTTCGATGTCCCAAATGAAGGAACTGGGTTGTTTATGATTTGCTTCAATTTGTTGTTTTACGATGAAACAGGGTCCCGGAGCTCAGGTGGGCTGGAAACCTCAAGTGTTGGAAAAAAAGACTACATTTCCCATCACTCCCTCTGGCACAAATATTCAATAAGTCACTAAGTGAATGGGTACTGTAACTGACAAATATAACCTGCTAATACTGACACGTAAACACTTGAACTACGCATGAAGGGAAACTGAAGAGTGATTCTGGGATTTGTAGTTCTTTGTTTTTTTTTTTTAGTACAGCCCACCTGACCCCAGTGTTCTCTTGCTGAGTGAAAGTAATGGGGAGCAAGTTAATCCAGGTAACCAACCTTAATTTTTTGCTGCACAAGTGATTTAATGTCAGTCAAAAAAAGTTATTGATGACTGAAAAATGCTGACATTTGACAAGTTGTATGTGAATAATCAAATGGTTGTACTTTGCACTAAGTTTTGTTTTGATTTCATTATTGTTTTGTTGATATATATATATATAAAAAGAAATGTCTATTGTGATAGTTGCGATAGTTTTGAAGACTGTATGATAGTGAAATCCATTTCATTTAAATGTCATATCAAATCAATTCAAGAATACTACATTTCGCAGCCATGTCTTAAAAGGTTTCATTTCAGTTACATATTGTATTTTTTCAGCCGTCAGGAGTTCAGATGAGCTTTTTTTTCTGCTGGTTTTTTGGTCAGTTATATCGTTATTCAGACCTGGAGAGACACGGCAGACTTTGGTAGCAATAACGCTTGGCAAGAAGTGGACATTGGTGGAGGGCAGATGGAACAAACATGCTCTTTATTTCCTCTGCCGGAGCATCATCTGCCTTTTCCAATCCGTACGGACTGATTCTGGACTGAGGCCGTGCTTATCGGTACTACGCAGCCATTGGTTTTGGACAGACATCTTGAAGGATTTCTGGTTTAAAGGAAGCCGGTTGATGTGTTTTGTTCAAACGGCATGGCATTCTTCACCAATATGCTCAGAAGAAGTCCTATTTTCTCACCTCTCACCGCTCTACTTCACCTGCCACTCCATGGAAAAATGGCCTTGGATGTAAATGACTTGTACATGTAAAGTTTTTCTACACTCATTCTAGATTCTAGGTATTTTTATAGTGGGAAGAACATTTCTTCTTGTCTTATGCTGAGAGACAGCTGCCTGTATTCTTCTCTAGCATGTAGCGTGTACAGTATCTCTTTTTTTTTTTTTTCCTTCTCGTTTTGAAATCACATGCAGATATTTATTCATCAATTGACACAAACTCGCACTCTGTGATCTGTTCCGCTGAATATATATCTTTGTACATTTTTTTTTTTTGAATTCACAAGGGGAGAGATTGAATGAATCTTTGGGAGACATTTGCTGGATTCAGAGGAAGCGTTTGCCATCGTGTGCAAAACGCAGAGTGGTCGTTGGTCGAGGTCGCGGCGCTCTTCCATAACGCTGACGCCGCCGCGGCCTCCTCAGGGTTGTGATTTCAGACGTTCTGCAGTTTCTACTGTTGTCTTCCCAGATGGAGTCAGGTCCTGCATGGAAACACAGATTTGTATTGTATATCTCTGATTCAGACCCTTTTGTTTTGACTGAAACATCTAATTATGAGACCTCCTAATAACCCCAACTGATTTAATTCTTCATTATTTATGCTAATTCCTCCTTCTTTGGGAAGACACTTGAATGCAGCAGGTGATGCTTCACTTGGTTATCTCCCTGCTTCTTATTTTAGTGTCTGACAGATAGTTTGAGGCAACAGAATAAGTAAACACAGAGCTCACAAAACATTCCCTTTGAGCAGAGCTGAAGGTGACTGCACTTTAACCACCAAATTTACTCCGAATGACCAAAGACAGATTCAACGTTAACTGATTATTTTATCCATCAGGGTCCGTGATCTTTCGGTAACTGTTCTAATAAATTAACACACTCTGAAAGGAAAGGAAAACTGGCCTGCTAGTCTAAACACTGTGCCTCTGTGTCTCAAACTCTGCCTCTAAACTAACCTGACGATGAGCCCTGGGGAAAGCACTGACCATGTGACTCTCAGTCTGTTAAATTATAATGATGAAAACCTAAACTGTAAATATGAATTGTCATTTTTTTGTGAACTTTTTCTCTCTATCTCTCACGCTCACTTCCAGTGTCCAAAGAAAGTCTGCTCAAGGCACAAACATCACTACTGGAGTAGTGCATGGCTTGCCATTATGCGACATGGGAAGAATATTGTAGAAAAGAGAAATTGTAAAAGTTACATTTATTCCTATTTTCAAAGATAAATGTATAAATTATAACAGTATTGGTTACAGCTGTATATTATTTTTTCAATATCCCCAAATGATCTAATCCTAATTGTTACTGGGGGAATATCATTTCAGTCATTGTAAAAAAAGAGAACAATTTAAAGGTAAGCAGTGAAAGTAAGATTAGAAAAATAAATGGAATAAAATTAAACTGTTGTCTCATTTCTTGCATGTGTTTACATTAGACTGTGTTTGCATGTACTGTACTGTACTGTACCGATACTGGCAGCACAATATGGGTTTGATTTTAACAAACATACTATTAACACTTCATTTAACTTAACAGTAAATCTTTTTTGTGCAATAATTCAACTTTTCAACTCTGATTTACTCTAGCATAAATACTGTAATATTCGTATTTATACTATTCTTGCATTTCAACACTTAATCATAGATCTCACTTAAGCATTATTAGTATGTCCATGGTAGTTATATATTGTGTATATATATACCTCACAATTAATCCACAGCAATGTAAGTGAAGTAATTTATGATTAGTATGTCCGGATGGTATTACAAATTATTTTAATATAATATAACTATATTCAGTTCCATAAAAAACTACATTTTTCTATAAATTAGATTTATTCTGCTCTTCATTTTCGGCCATATTTATGATTTCACCATTCATGTTAAAGCTCCATAGATAGGCCCTCCAGTCTCCAACCTATCAGCGCCACCTGCAGGTTGTAGACATGTACTGCATGGACCCTGTACAGATTGCTCATAAAGTAATAGTTTTAACTTTTGTAATTCGCATTCCACTCATGTGACTGTTAGGAAAACCTGAACCCTTTATTTCAGATTCTGAAATCACCTCTTCAATGTGAGGGGATTATTTACTGTATCACTCAATGTTGTGTTATTCTTAAACAAAAGACATGACATGTAATTGTGTACAGTCTTTTGAAGAAAATATTATTCCTTACTTTATGTATAACGTCTTACATTTAATGGGGCACAACATCTAGAACTATTACAAAAACCGTTGCTTTCTTGAATGCCTCACGGGTCAGACGGTCCCGGAACCTTTCTTCTCCTCCCTGCTCACTACGGACGTATTTTGATGGAGCACACAGAGCGAACACGGCGGGATGCTCATGTAGGAACAGAACATTTAACATAAAAAATTACGTTTTAATGTCAGAGACTTTAAATGATATCCACCATATACTATTTGTTGAATTATGTTGTTGATCGTTTAATACAAATGCCCAGGTACGTATCAATGTTGTCAGGAAAACTGTTGAAGCTAACATTCATTCAGTTATAACGTAAATTGTTGTGTGTTTAAATATTGACATTGATAGTTAACGGTACTTTGTGAACATAAATTAGTCGCTAAATTACGCTAAATGACCGTTAACTACATGGTTAACGTTAAAAGGAGAGTTACCATAAAACACAATTCACTTGATTATTCTGCGTTAAGGCTTAACATCCACAAAGTGTTGGTTTGATACTTTGATATTCAATTTAATTCAAATAGTTGTATTGGCATGATCATAATGACATACAGTATTGCCAAAGCTCTATACATATTAGGACATCTATACATACATTTATATATTTGGATTGTACTGTTATGTACAATTTGAACAAAAGCAAGAATTACATAATAAACAATATAACTAGATATTGTCTTCAGCTAAATACACATTTGCAAAATAGACTCTTAGTTACTTATTTATATCTACAACGGTGAATTGTTTTGAGTTAGTTTCATACTTATTTTTTGGAATACCTGTTCTCAGTTGTTTCGGTGTGAATAACCTATTTCTCATGTTTTTATTTAGCAGGTAAAACCAGCCTTCTTCCCATTTTCAAGATGGACTCCCTTGCCCCGCACACTGAGGTTCGTGTGGCCGTGGCCCAGTGTTTCCGGACCCTCTCTACATCCACAGAACCCGAAGACATTATCAGCTCTCTTCAAACCCTCCACTCTTTCCTGGATGAAGGGCCAGAGAGCAGAAGCACCCCGGATCAGAGAGCAGAGTTCAGCAGAGCTCACTTCACCCGCACCATTCAGTTCCTGCTCAGCAACATCCAGACTGACTGGCTGCTCGGCCTCTCAGCCGCCCAGCGCACTGACCTGTGGGACGGCCTGTTCCTCAGAGGCCCCCCCGAGCAGGCCCTGCTGGTGCTGATGGAGGGAATATCAGAGCTGAAGTGGGTAGTGCTGCAGAATTTATTCTATGCTAGTAAAAAGACCATTAAACTACAATTGTCTACAATTCTGTTCAATGTTGTAAATTGTGATATTGTATACATTCATTTTTCTCCCTTAACCTTAAAGGTAAGGTACGTTTATTTATATCAGTTCATAGTGCTTTACATTATCATTAACATACAAAATAAATGACACAGAAAACAAGACAATACATAAAAGACAGAGACAATACATACAAATAAACATAGTTAATAGTACACAAGAGGTGGAGTAATACAATATTATAACATATTTTAATAAAAGCCTTTTAACTGTGAATCCCAGTGTCCTGCACTTCTTCATAGGTAATACATTTCTTATTCACCATTGCAGGTTATATGAAACTGTGATTGTGCTCCTTAACACATAGAATAAAGCAGCAATCTATTTTCTTTATTTATAAGCTCTACTACAAAACATTTATTAGCTATCTTTTTTAGGTCACAGGACAGTTTAACATCAACTGTACATCTTGATCACACTGAAATTGGAATTATCATGCTGCCTCCAAATCAAAAGAGCTCAGGAAAAATTTGACGAGCCGTTTCCTAGTTCACTTTGACATTTTAAAAGAATGTATCTATGTATTTGCAATCACACTTGTACTGCACTTTGCTTAACTTTGAAAATGTATACTCCCTAATCCTCTGTCCATGCTTAAACAGTATTTCAAAATGATTTTGTACACAGGTCTCTCTTGAAAAAGAAAGCCCAGATTTCAATGGGACTTCCTCAATAACGGACAAAAGAGAAGATGACATCATGTTAACCATTAACTAATAATTTCTCTTTATTGTCTCTGCACAGAGCCAGCACTAGCCTGGACCTGTTGATCAGCATCACCGAGCGCTTCCTTCTGAGCGGCCGCCTCGCCGCGCTGCTCTGGTCTTCCTGTCTGCAGACGGCCCCCTCCGACTCCCCCCAGCTCAGGGAGACTCTGCTGGCTCGGATCGTGGCGCTGCCGGACCTCACCGCCAACCGGTTACATCTGAAGAACAAGCCCTGTTTCTGTCCTCAGCAGTACTTCACCCTGCTGGCCTCAGAGATGCTCACTGCACTGGAGAGGACCTGCCAAGCACTGAAAGGTGAGGGAACGTCTCTTACCTATAATAAGAGCATGTGATGGATTTATGTCGAAGATTTATTTTTAGCATATCAAAATGATAATTTCTCACCATTTCTATTTTGAACAGATGGCACAGACTGCTCCTTGATCTTCGTGGCTCAGACACTTGGAAAAGTGTGTGTCCAGGGCCACAGTGGTGAGTTCACTGTACATTTAGCTGAAACTAAATTGAATAGTGGTTATAATATGTGCCAGCAAATACAAATTCAACTCCAAAGATCTTTTTCTTTTTAAATAAAAAATAATGACATACATAATCTCCCACAATTGTGATAATAAATGATGTGTCATGTATCAAGAAAAAAATGCCAAAACATTGTTGTAGATTTTTTACATTAATTTAAGATGGTTTTGTATTACATTTATGTTTATTTTTAAAATATTTGGTTTGTAGTAGATGTCACCTTGAGATCTGAGAAATTATTATAGTATTTTTGACATACTAAAGACCAAAGAGGGCATTGATTTATGGTTATTGGTTTATTTGTTGATTTCATAGTGTTTTATGAATCCAAAAGCTTTGAATTTCTCTAGATAATATAGATTACGTCTGATAGGCATAACTGTCATCCATAAAACTGAATTTACCATTTACCCTCTCTAGGAACTAATGAGAATTGTTTATTGTGACACAGACTAAAATGTATCTACCTCTTGCATGTTTACTTCCTCCCTCCAGGTCCTGTGTTTGCGGTGATGGCCCCCCCGGCTGTCTGTGTGCACGCGCTCCGACATGGTGTGGCAGAGGGTCTGCTGGAAGCTGCTGCAGAACGTTCCTCAGCGATGGATGGAGAGCGTGCTCACCGGGCTGGTGCAGGCCGTCAGAGGGTAAACAGCTTACAGCTTATACAGCCTGCAGTTGAGTTTTCTATTTTCCCTTCATGACCCCAGTTTCCACCTCTTTTCTTCAGGCCTGAAGCCTTTGGCAGGATTATTGGGAATCTAGTGTTAACCAATAAAAAGGCCCAGTATGTGGTCACTCACAAACTCCTGTTACTGCAGTACAAGTATGAGGTAAGAAGATACCTTGCAGCCAGACAGTAAAAATGATAACTTTACGATTAACTAATGAAGATTTTTTGTTTCTCCCTAGACTCAGGTTTTGAGAACTGTCCTGGGTTACCTCGCAGCCGACAGGGAGCGGAGGCCACTGCTCCTCCAGGTGAGTGCATCAGGATATTTAGCACCCAAATGGACAAAACATAATATTTATTGATGATTCTGATGTATGTGTGTGTGTGTGTGTGTGTGTGTGTGTGTGTGTGTGTGTGTGTGTGTGTGTGTGTGTGTGTGTGTGTGTGTGTGTGTGTGTGTGTGTGTGTGTGTGTGTGTGTGTGTGTGTGTGTGTGTGTGTGTGTGTGTGTGTGTGTGTGTGTGTGTGTGTGTGTGTGTGTGTGTGTGTGTGTGTGTGTGTGTGTGTGTGTGTGTGTGTGTGTGTGTGTGTGTGTTCGTTCTCAGGTGCTGCGGGCTCTGTCCCAGGCCTGGGCTAACCCCAGTGCAGTGAAGCACACACCTCTGGAGCAGCAGCTGTATGTCAGTAAGGCCTTACTGCTGAGTGTGAATCTGCTGAGAGACGCCGAGCTGCAGGAGCTACGCTCAGGTACAAGCAGTGTTCAAAGCCTCAAAGCACTCAGTACACCAACAGTCAAATGAGAAATGAGAATGGCTCCACATATTTTTTATCCCAATCTTTAATGCTCTTGAGTTTTCATTATCAGGACAATCTTTAATATCCACACTTCAGTCATTTGAAAAATCTTTCTAGCTTGCTATCAGAGTAGAGAAAAATAGAGCCTGTTTTAAAATTACAAGAATTATCATGTGAGAAAGAACAAACCCACAGAATGTATCCTTTTTTAATGTGCCCTTTATTTATGCAGGGGGTTTATGATTAACTTATGCTGATGCTTTTTGTGATTATAGTCAACAATGCTATTTGCACCCAGAGTGTAGAATAACATAGCTACATTTTTTTGTTTTTCTCTTATAATAATGTCCACTAAAAAGGAATCTGTGATGTAATTAAAAATATTTGCTTCCCAATTTATTGCAATGTAAAATTATTCTAGTATGTTTGCTTGCATTTGAAGTGTGAGAGTATAAAACATATTTTGATGATTATTTAGATAATATTGTGGATTATTTTGGCTAAGATAATTGTGATTTGAACTTGTCCCATGCCTCAATAAGACAATATCAATTTAGAGGAGTATAAAGCGTGTGGCCTTCAGCTCTGCTCTCTCTGCTGTGTCTCAGAGTTGCTGCAGTGCATGCTGGGAGGCATGCAGAGCCACCTGGACAGCAGCGTGGTGCGGATCAGACACATGGGCATGGTGGTGGGGGAGTGCCTGAGCGCCCGCATGGACCTCAACAACACCAAGCTGAAGTTTGAGGTACAGTTGATAAAAGCCCTCAAATATTGTATTGATCATCTGATTGAGACGTGTGTCTGAGTTTGTATTTTGTGTGTTGTAGTACGATCAGGACGAGGAAACTCTGGAGCTGCTTTCTCTGATGACTCCCATCTCTGGAGAGGAGCCAGAGGAGGAGCCTGAGAACGGGTAAGGGTCTTTTTCTAATAACTGTTACGCATCTTAGTCAGAATATCTGCGATAAAAACACAAGGTGCAATCTTATTTATACTCCTTAGCGGATCATACACTTTTATGCACTGTGCTTTCATTCAGCCCTCTGGATATCAGTTTTGTGTAAGATTTGAAAGAACCACTTAAATATTATGAACTAAACATTACTGTTTGGTAGTTAAGCACTTTTTAATGTCTTTTTTATGTTGTGTTTTTTCTTTTTTACATATTTAATGAGCCTGGTGAAGGAAGCCTCAGATCTTTTTTAATTAACCACACATTTCCATGCCAACAGCTGCTTCTCTGTTATTGTTGTGCGCTTGGCAATAACAATCTAAGTAGCAATTATAAACAGTTTTTTCTTTTATTACTAAGTTTAAAAGAGCATTTGAGAAAATGATCTTCCAAGAGGGCACACTGTACTCAAAAACAAAGGGTCATATCTCATAAGACTTGTTCCTTATATATGTATTTGTAGGCATTGATTGTATTTAAGAGAAGGTCTATCATCCACAGAGTCACCTCTCCTCAAGAGACCAGTGAAAAAACTACCCAGAATGCATCATCTCAAAATAAGTCCAAATCTGACCCCGGCTCCGACCTGGACAGGTAAATATGATCTCTTCTCTGATATACTTTATGTATTTATTGTGAGACGTTTTTTTCGTAACTTTGAGTCTTTCCCTGGTGCAGCGACGACGAGTTCTCTCCGTACGATATGTCTGCGGATCAGGAAATGACTAAAGAATCGCCGCGCTATCTACGAGACTGTCTGGAAAGTATGGCTCCAGAGATTCAATTCCATCTCATAGATCACCTTGTATTTTAAAATCTAATTTGCTTCCACTTTTTCTTATCGGTTAACCCCTCCAGCTTTAATTTCCTCTGAGGACTCGGTGCGCGTGGAGCTCAGTTTGAGGGTCGCTGAGGGTTTGGTGAGGAAGAACGTCTTTGCAGCCAGAGAGGTATGATAGGAACACACAACAAAAATGACTAAAATGACTGTACATTTTAATAAGAAATCAGAGCAATCACTTTCCTTTTAAAGACGAGTCCTATATCTGTACCATAAATACAACTTTTTTCCTGAAAATGTACTCTTACATAGATGACTTTGACACTATGTTTTGTGATTGGTTATATGTTTTTTCAGATCAGTGTCCAGCTGACTAAAGTGCTTCTTCACACGGAGGATAAATACAGCATACGTGGCTTCCTGAGTCTCAGACAGACGACCATGGTGGCGCTCACGGTCACCGACTGCATCCCTGTAATAATCATTGCCACTCAGCTTTATCGCCATATCAAGCATCTATTCTGCTTTTTTACATTTTATTTTATTGTATTTTTGCGTTCTGGGATAGGTGACTCAGTATTTGACCACAGAGTTTTACTCCATGAACTACGGTCTTCGCCAGCGGCTCGATATCTTGGAGGTACGTCTACACTTTTCATTTGTGGGTGTGCCTGGAATAACAAAACAGTGATTCATTTAGGGCTGCAATTTAAGATGATTTATTATAATTAAAGAATCTGCAGATTATTTTCCAGATCAATAATGGTGTATAAAATGCCCCCAAAAAGTAAAGTGATATACAAGAAAAAAAAATACCAATATTTGAAAGTCTAAAACACAATTGTTTGCATTTTATTAAATTACAAAAATATTCTTTCTGTCGATCGACTCATTTTTGCAACTCTAGATTGATTTGAACTTTTAGTTTTTCATATCTCGGTTTTTGTTTTGCTCTCTCAGGTCCTTGCCCTGGCAGCACAGGAGCTTTCTAAGCCAATCAGTGAAGAGAGAAGTCCTTCTGTAGGTGTTTCTTCCTGCACTGATCTGACCCCGTACCCCGGTGACAACCCTGTCCACTGGAGACAGGTGGTAGAGAGGCGGATTCAAAACAAGACAAAACGTCTCACTAAGGTAGTAAAAGTGGACCAATGTTTCACCTTTTTTTGTTTTTTCAGTGAAGTTTACTCCTTCAATAACTTAATATTCATTTTTTATTTTTCTGCAGGGGGCCACACAACCTCCAGCTAAGGCCACACCTAACCGCTACGCCCCGGTTGCCGGACATTTCTTCTTTCCTCTTCTCAGCAACTATGACAAGTAAGTATATTATTTATGTCAAGATTAAAGCTCAAAACTCGTAGTGATTTCTGTACAATTAAACTGGAGTGTAATACCTTCCTGCCAGGCCTCAGGTGACCTTTGACCTGTTGGGCGGCGACCATCTTGTACTGGGCAGGTTGATCCACACCCTGGGCCTCTTCATGCACCTGGCAGTAAATGCACCGGTAATATTATCCATTTGTCCATTTTATATGTGATATAATTTAAATGTATTATCTCTTCGATTGACACACGGCATCTATTGCACGTCTGTCCGTCCTGGGAGAGGGATCCCTCCTCTGTTGCTCTCCCTGAGGTTTCTCCCATTTTCCCCTTTAAACTGTGGGGTTTTTCTCTGGAAGTTTTTCCTTGTACGATGTGAGGGTCTAAGGGCAGAGGGTGTCGTATTGTCATACTGATATTCTGTACAAACTGTGAAGTCCACTGAGACAAATGTAACATTTGTGATATTGGGCTATATAAATAAACATTGATTGATTGATTGATTGATTGATTGATTGATTGATTGAATGTTAAGCTTTTTTTTTTTAAATCTCAACAGCACCCTTGAACTGCATTTCAATATGTATTTGATTATAAAAAAATAAATTAGTCAAATGATTTATGAGCAGGCGGAAAAGTTGTATTTCTGTACATTTTAAGACCAGAATTAGGGCTTGACACAACAAATCACAATGTCACACTTAGCCTATACATTTTTGAATATCAATTTTCCCAGCTCTGACTTTTATTGTGTTGTTTTTTGTTGTTGCAGGTAGCTGCACAGATGGGTCGTGCTTTATTGGACTTTGTGTGGGCGGTGCGCTACCACGCTGACCAGTACGTATGATGCATATAAGTGTTTCAGACAGTTCATTGATAAAAAAAGTCGGAGGAATCTATTTGTGTTTATTTACGGCACTGTAGTGTAGTATTCATGTATGGCTACTAAACTGGAAATGTGTCTGTTGCAGGATGGTGAGACGAGGCGTCCTCTTCGCTGTTTGCTCCGTGTTTCTGAGCATGCCCAGTCAGAACCTGCTGGTGGACCTGAACGAGCAGCTGTTTGAGACCAGAACCTGGCTTGCAGGTAAATAGAAAACACTGCCGGGGACAAAAGTTAGTCTTCAAACTTTGACATACAGTCCATCTATTGAAATCTCCCTTATAGTTATAGGACTGTTATTTTTATACTTGTGGATTTAATTCTAAAATTGCACATGAATAAAGCAATACACTGTTTATATTTACTAAAAATAGAATAGCCTTCAGTTCAAATGCATGATTCTTGTAAATGAGCGAATGTCTGAGGCTGCACCTGCGTAGTGTAATTCTGTCAGGGATGTCCTTTCAATGACACACACACACACATACACACAAACAAACACACGTACAGCTGGACTGAGCATTTCTGGGAAACAGAAGAGGAACAAGGATGTCCTGTACTGCAGGACCGTCCATGACGTGATTGGCCCAGCAGCAGTTTGATGTTTCTTTATCCCTCTGAGGATTAAAGTAGTTTCACATTGCAGCTGAATGACAATTGACACAGTTTGTCCTCCCACGTACGATTGTTAATTGTGCAAAAGAAAATGCCAGGATTATATGCATATCAACGATTTTGCTTTTATTATCATTCCGAAAGATCTAGGTGGTCTTTGAGCTAAAGATGTTGATAATATTTTCGTGCTGTTAGAGGAATAATTCAGATTTTTTTTTTAAGGTGGGGTTGTATGGGGTACTTACTTTCCATACTGTTAACCATACAGCTGTTATTTCCCCTCTTACTTAACAAAATAGTTGCTTTGTTTTCTTGTGTCATTGTGTGACTTTTATGAATCCAAACTAACCAAAGGAGTCTGGTAGAGAGCAAAGATAATGATTTCAGTTCCCCGATTGAAAGGCCTGTCTCAAGGCAAGGTAAAGTGGTCAAATCAACTGATATTGATTTTACTGTGACGCTAAAAGAATGCCCCCGTCCACAGCAGTACATTGCTATTGTAGGTCATAGACTGACTATGAATAAGTACCTTATACAACCCCACAAACTATCCCTTTGTTAATTTCCACAGATGTGGCTGAGGGAGACCCTGATGAAGACTGCAGAAATCTGGCCATACAGAGTTTGGTCCTGCTGGATAAGAGCCTGAAGAAACAGCTACAAGATCAACAAGCACTGGGCATGGAGACATGATCGCAGCACTAACAATGAACAATGAAACACTGAATGTGTCTCTGATGCTTGGGGGGGGGCTTCACTGTACCTCCGTCTCATCTTCACCCGGAGGACTGAGGTCAATGGAAGTGATGCTCCGGATATTTGCAGACACTGTCCTGGAACACACAGGCAAAGGCAACACACAGAGAGAGGGCAGACCTTTTCCAAAGTAAATTTTTTGTTCATAACTAAATCATGTACACACTACATTGTTTAGATGAACATAGTGTATCATTTATGAACCAGATAAAATATTGATTGAATGGAGAATAGGATGCCATTTGTGTCCACCAATACAAGTTATGAGGATATCCTTCTCCACCTCTTTCCTGTACTGGCATGTCCCTGTACTCTGGTTGTTTGTTTGCAAAGGACATCCTGTGAATATACAAAAATAATGGAAATACTACTACTTCACCCTGTGACAAATGTGTGTATGTTCCCAAACAATGACTTTTTTTTTTAAATAAACCGTTGTTTATAGTTGTATTCTCAATTTCCTTGACTTGATGTTTAGTACAAAGATTGGCATTGATTAGTGTGATTATTTTTGTAGTAAATACAGATGTAGCTACTACAAAAGATATGTTATAATTCATTTTCCCTGGGCAGTAGTGAACAGTTAATACCAAACGTTAATCAAATAAAACAATTACATTCCATGTAGAGTTAGGATGTGAAATACCCATACCTGGCACAGCAATATAATTATTTATGAATGATTTACACCACATCTCAAAACCAACAACATCAAATCAAATCAATCTTTTTTGCAGGTTGCTCACCTTGAAAGGATCTGGATACATAATGACTATACATGACTGTTCAATTTAGACTGAATTCATTTTTGTGCTCATTGCATCAGTAGAGTTATCTTAACATTCAATTTGAAGCATTTTTTTTCATAGGCACAATAGCTACAGAGTAGTTGTTGCCAATAAAAAAAGTCCAAGCAGTGCAACATACATAATACATAGACGACATAGGGAAGTGAAAACATGTACTTGACACAATGGTACAAGTGAAATAAAGGAATAAGAAATGAGCAAACTATGTACATAATGGTGGTAAAATAAGCTGCTGATTGTTTCAATAACATATTTTAAAATCCCTCTACATTAGCTGACCAGAGGCAGAGGGAACAACATTAAATGGAATATTTGTATGAGATTAGAACAAGGATGCCTACTACCTACTACTGCCCCTAACCTTCGACACTGACTCGGGTTTCTTCGTTTTTTCCCGTAAACTCCTCCTCCCGTCCCGCCTTCGAGGTTGTCAGGGGCAACTGGAAGAGACGCTTCTTGCTCACACAGGAGGCTACACAACAACACCAAGTGACAGACGGTCTGTTTAAGTTGTTTTGAGATTAAACAACTACATCGACTGTTACCTGAAGCAAACGGCAGTAAGGTTGGTCTTCCGATAATTGTAACAAATCGTTGAATTTCATTCTATAATAGCGAGGGCTGGACAGGAGTGCTAACTTTGGCTAGCTAAGCTAATGTTAGCAGCTGAAGCTAACTTACTCATTAGTCACATAACGCTGGTAAATGAAAAGAATCCATAGCTAAAAGTGTACGGCGTTATGTATCTATTCCAATTGGTGTTTTAGTCATAGTCCAGTCGATTACCGTTACATATAAAGTGGAATTATAATGAAGGTAACGTTACTTTTAAGAGATAACTAGTAATTACCCAGATTTACAACACGAATTAGCCAGTCAGCTAAGTAGCTTGAACATCGACATTAAGCCACAAAACAGATACAAAGATGTGAAATCAAAGAATGCACCATGAATAATAACCATGTATAATATTGTAGGAGTGACCTGGCTTCCCTTGTTTCTTCTCTCTTATCCAGGGAGGAGCAGAGGGGACATGGCGGTGTATTTTGACCACCGTATCGATGCCCCTGAAGGCAGTGAAGTGCCCTCTCAGTTGACATGGCACTCGTCCCTTTCTGTTCTGGCTGTTGCCTCGAGCAGCTCCACCAATGGAGGCAATGTAGACCTCTACCTGCAGCAGGTAAACACTTTGCAGATGAACACTGACACAGATTACCACTTTGTAATATCCTATATGAGTCCCTGTGTGTGAATATGATCAATTACAGAATACTTGACAACGTTCGACATACTTCATCCTTGCAGGGAGAGTTTGTGGAGAAATGCCATTTAGAACGTCTTCACCCGCCCACAGTGATGCGCTGGCATCCCACAAAGCCTCTGCTGGCACTAGGCTGGGAGAATGGAGAGGTGGTGCTGCTGACACACTCCTCTGGAGATCAAACTGTCCTTCCAAGCACACATGCAGCCTGCATCACACTGCTGGAGTGGAGCAGCTCCGGCAGCCGCTTAGTAACTGGTGATGAGGTGAGTGTATTGCAGTGAATATGCTGGTAGGCCTGATTCCCATGCATTATAAACATGCATTTTGTGCACAGATGCCATTTGAAATGATTTAAACTTCACATTCCTTCTTTTAAAACCACTTAACTTAAGTGTGATTATTATTATTATCAAACACAGACTGGAGCGCTTGCAGTATGGAAGGTAGATGCTAGAGGGAGACTTCAAGGAAATCATCTTGTGAAGCATGAATACAAGAAACCTATCACTTGCTGCATCTTCAGACCGGCTTCACCTGGGGAGTAAGTAAACTGGATTCAAAGCTCAAAGTTGGTTATTCTTCTTGGCGGGGAGATAATATTGAAAACATTGTCATATCAATATGCTCTCTTGATCTGAATGATGTGTTGCTGATTGTGGGTCCTAACTCATGTTACAGCGATGTGGCAATGCTGGCCCGGGCGTCAGTGAGTGGAGATGAGAGGGCTCTGGACAAGTTCAGCTGGAAGGGAGCTCCTCTCAAGATGGGCCCACAGGAGGGGCTCGCATTTTACGTCAGCACTGCAGATGGTAAGAGATTTGTGCAGCATCATAATGGTAATGCTTAAATATTTTTTACAATATCTATTGGTGATAATCAATGTTTTTAAATGGCCTTTCTCAACCTCCTTAAGGGTGTGTCATGCCAGGCTGGTTTGTTCTTTGTAGCACTGTGCTGAGTTAAAAATGTTTGGGGGGAATACTTCTTAACATTATTGACTAAAAGAACATCTAAGGAGATTCCAGAGGGCTTTTCAATATACTTTTTCATGTTAAACCATACTAAGATCATTTGCTGTTTTACTGTTAACAAAAATATCAAGCCCTGTTTAGAAGGATTTCAATGAATTTAAATTATGAAAAGTAATGCATCACAGAATACTGTTATTGATCTACAAAGCTGTCAATTCATTCAAACAGATAATACTGTTTGGGCTACAAATATGTTACTTTCTTAATCTTTAACCCTGTGTCCCTTGTGTATAGGTAAAGTCCACAGTGTGGATGAGAACTGTAAAACAAGCACACTTCTCAGTGTCGATGGTTCAATCAAGAAACTGCTCTTCCTGGAGAAACGAGAGGTGCTCGCTGTGATCACAGAGACCATGATGCTGTCACAGTACACGCTTGGGCCTGAGGGAGGGGCCCAGGAATTTATGAAGGTATACAAACATCACCAAATATGTAATTTTGTTTTATCTTCAGGTCAGTTTAGTTTGTTAACATGTTTTTTTTCCTGACAGGTGAAGTTGAGCAGCAAGAGTGGGCAGAATGTGGATATTGTCTGGACAGAGAACGGTCTCCTCATCACAGCAACAGGAGAACAGGTTATCAGGTCAGTGAACAAATATGGTTTGTACACACACACACACTTTAAATCTCTTCTTTAAACTTGAATAACTGTCTTTTCTTTAGGCTGTGGGACCTGGACGGAGACGACAACTATGTTTTGGCTCTCGAGGAGACTCTGGGGTTTGAGAGAGGAGAGATGATCAACTGTGTTTCATACTGTACAGGAAAAGGTAACTGTTAAATATATTCCCATGGTGACACACATAATCAGTCCCCGGCCCTTGATTAACAAAATGTTACAACTGGTTTGTGTATTTGTATCTAACCTCATTGTATTTGTATATCTTCAGAAATCTTAGCAGCTGGTACCAGCCATGGACGCATAGCCATGTGGAAGATGGTGCTGCAGCCCGCTGGAAGAGGTGACACCAAGGCCTTGTGGAAGCTACAGACACCTACAGAAATAGAAGGAAATGTCCTTCAGCTTCAGGTACTGTGTGGACCAACATTTTTACACATTGTAATAAATGGAAAGTTATGTACAATTCTGTAATATGATGGGAAAGTTAATTCAGACCTTCCATTTCAGTGGGGCTCGAACCTGAATCTGCTGGCGGCCAACAATTCGACTACAGTGCTGATCCTGTGTGAGCATGTGATGTCTGCACACTTCAGCCAGCAGGTGGCAGCAGTGCAGCTCACCCCGACGCAGCTCAACATCACTCAGTTCAGCTCAGGAGGGCACCTCCCTCTGCAGTCCGACATGCACATCAAGGGAGTCTGTGTGACTAAGGTGTGTGGAAAGAAAGTGCAGAATTGAATATTTCTGTACTTTAAAAGGTTTTAATTATATTGTGGTAACTTGATGTGTGTTGTCATACCAACAGGATACAGTAACAGTATGGAGTGGCAAGCAGGTGACTGTGTATGAGCTTTCAGGAACAGCTCTTCGCAATACAGGTAAAACACTTAAGCAAAAGGCCCCCGAACAGACCAAATAACATTCTATACATTTGACATTTTAGAAATTCAGCAGCTGCCTTTATTTAAACCTTGTGGTTTTCTCTAAACTTTCCTTCTTCGCCTATCTTTTTTCCCAGGATCGTTTCCTTGTGACTCCCCTGTCGTAGCTGCACATGGTGAGAACCTCTACACTGTGGAACCAAACAGAGTCCAGATTCGAACACCACAGGTCTGTTGTCTCAACTTATAAAGAAAAGAAATAGAATAGAATGTATGAGTTTATACACACAGCGAGTGGTATCTATCACTATAGATGTAATCATTTGTTGGATTACGTTCTCCTCTCTTTTCTTTAGGGCACCGTGAAGCAACTGCTGACCTTCTCCAAGGCAGAGGGCAACCCCGTGCTGCTCAGTGTGTGTCAGTCTTACCTGGTGGTGGGCACAGACACCGCACACATTAGAGTATTTGACCTCTCTCGAAGGTATGATGTTAATGTGGATTATGGTTACCTTCAATTGAAAAATAAAAGCATTCTAACTTCTGTATTGCAAAAGTGTGTTTGTTGATATTTTCTTTATTCCAAGTTACTTTTTGTCCAACAACAGCAGTTTTCTGTATGTCTTTACAGAGATGCCAAAGCTCACAGCAGTGCTAAGAACCTGGCTGACCAAATATCCAATCTGGGGGCCCTGAGGTCGGTCAAATGTAACGCCAGCGGCAGCCAAGTCAGCATCCTAATCTCTCAGGTGAATATTTACTACATACATACATTCCCCTTCTTATTTAAATATGATTTGGAGAGCTTAATATTTAAGTATCTCAAGATTTCATATGAATATTTCTCCTAACTTCAGCTGTTGTTACTCTTCCTCTCAGCTAAACGGGCGACCGGATCACAAAGTGTACTTTTATGACGTTGAGATGGACACTGTGACAAACTTTGACTTCTTCGTTGGCCGACCATCCAGCGGTTTATTACAGACAGAAGAGAGCGAGAGGTAGCTGACGTTGAAATCTATGGACTGTATTTCTGCCTGTGTGGAATGTTCTAATGCCTCATAATGAACGTATATGCTGTGTTTCAGGCAGCAGTTTCAGGGAACAGAGCTCAGCGGCCGCTGCCCTGTGTCTCACTTCTGGGATGAGAGTGAACCTCGACTCTTTGTTTGTGAGACAGTGCCGATCAGCTGTGAATCTTCGTCAACTAGTTTCCTGGATTCGGTAAAGACTGCTCCTAACCTTGGTTGTGTTTGAAATCGTGCACTAAAATACTGCACACTAAATTCTCTGCATGAACTGTGTCGTGGCTTCCTTTCTTATTTTCTTTCACGCCAATAGACGCCTTGAACAGACATTTCTAACCCGCTTTCTTGCCTTTATATTTGTGTCACTCACAGTTGATGAGTTGCTTGGCTTCCGATGGTGTGATGATATTTTGCAATGGGTTTGCTCAAAATATAATAACAAACTTTTTACACATGTAACAAAGAAAACAGGCCTTTACCATAGTCAAAACAAATCAAACAAAAGAGGCAAAACTCAAATAAACTAATAAACAACTTTCTTGCTTTCTTTTTAAACGGTAGTTGAACAGTTAAAAACTGCCTCGGCGGCGTCTTTCTACCCATCTATGTCTCTTTAGAGGAGGCGCCGTGGGAATTGTAGTCTTTTAGACTGTGTTGACTACAGACGTCACAATAGAGAGGCGAAGTCCCTCCCTTTCCGGTGACCACCATGGGACCTTATTTCGGAAACATTATGTATTGAAGTCAATGGAGAGAGAAAACGTATCATTCGATCCCGTTTGAATTGTGCCACGAATTACACATATGATGTTTGTCAATCTTAAAAAATAATTTCCGTGTCAAAAAAGTCACAGTTTGTCGTAAAACTGTTGAAATGTAAGACTATGAAAAATACGCAACTAGAAAGACTACAAATCCCAGAATCCCGGTCCCGCATGCTGGCTCTTATGAACCGACTAACTCCCCTTGTGTGTATGTACAGCTCTCAACATGCCCAGACTTGGAGTGATTTTCACCTCTTTTAATACTTTCCGCCTCATTCTGAAAGAAAGAAGTGAAATGTGCCAACGTGACGGCCGTCTTGGTGTGTGGTGCGAGACGGGAGATGTAGTTCATTGAGCGGTTTCACACAAAAAAAAGTGTTACTTCACAGTTTTACGACACTTTTTTTATTTGTTTGACTTGTAACATTTTTTTTTAAGATTGACAAACATCATATGTGTAATTCGTGGCACAATTCAAACGGGATCAAAAGATCACTTTTCTCTCGCCATTGACTTCAATACATCATTTTTCCGAAATAAGGTCCCATGGAGGTCCCCCGGAAAGGGAGGGACATCGCCTCTCTATAAGGTGGCCTTTTTTATAAAAACAAAATACTGGCTCTGACAAACTACACACTGCCTACTGAATTAATTGAAATCAAAGTGAATTTAAAGTTGTTAGAACATTTCTTTTCAGTTCATTCTTCTTTCTGCTCAGATGGACGTGTCGGTGGTGACGCTCTTCTGCACGCAGGAGCACGGGATCCTCCTGCAGGACTGCTACCCCAAACCCTCCGGCCTGCAGGCGCTCCTCGCTCTGGATGTGCCTTATTATTATTTCAGCTGCAAGGTGAGGACGCAGTGTTCTGCCTCTTCAGTGGGGGGTCTTTCTCATACTGGTTACAGCAAGTGTTTTCAATATGTTTTCCTGAACACATTTCTTGTGTCTCTGTTTGCATCATCACTATTTCTTATGTTATACTCTGTATGTGTTTGGTCTTACACACCCCCAGCTATTATTTCGGAGGGGGGGTGTCTTTTTACCAGAAGTAAGTGTCTGTCCCCCACAGTCCGTTCAGAAAGCTTCAGTGTTCCTGACTCCCAGCAGCTGTGGTTGTGTATGCCTTCTGCTGCAGTTTACCAACATTGAAGTATTGGCTCTCTCAGCAGCACAAGTGCATCCCTGAAGTATCTAGATGTCATTCAGCTGAGTCCAGTTCCCTCCACCTTGTCTTGATGAATAGATTTGTTCTGTGATGCTTCGTTGTTGTCTGGTTGCCTCTGCTTCTTATCCGTTCCATTACCCATTTCCCCCAGGATTAAAGGGTTTGACCTTTCATGGGCCTCATTCACCAATATATTAAATGTGTTTTTGAGAAAGGTCCTAAGAAGATTCCAGGTCAGATTCCTGACAGTCCTGAGTGTAAATGCATAGTTAGCAGTTTGCAGGTGGACTTGGGTTTGGGTGTTTTGTTAATGCAGATTTGTTGAGAGTTCTGCTGGCAGCATATATGCTCTCAAGACACATCTTTATTATTAGATTCTAGTGCTTTTTTAATTTAATATAATTAGTTCTGCTTTTTATAGAAAAGTTTTTTGTTGTATAGCTATCATGTCCAGTGACTCCAAATCAATGCAGCATTGTATAACTACCCTAAACAAGTAAGACACACCTCTTTAATTTGGATTAAGTCAATTTAGGTCTATTTTAAACGAATATTTTAATCAGAAAATCTGTAGTTTTTTAATTAAAAACCCTTGATTTTCTTTCAATAGCATCCATATTATGTGACCATATGACTCCAAATCAATGCAGAGTTTTATTATTTCATCATACATGTAGGACACATCTCTTTTTTTTCAAGGTTTTTGTAGTTTGTGAAAAAACTTAAGAGTTTCTTTATTGAAAATTCTATGATAATTTCAATAGCATCCATGCAATATAACCTGGACAAGTAGGACACACTTCTCTTTGTTGAATTTTAGTCCACTTTTCATTTTATATGAAGACTTTTGTTCTTAAAACTGTTTGGTGAATGAGGCAACTTGATCGTACCCCATGCTGCATTCATTAACTAGCTGTGATTCACATGTTGATCAAATATTTTCCTACCTGGTCTACCCTTCGTCAGCACGGTGAGAAGGACCCAGGGTCTGCAGAGATTTCAGCCACAGCACCAGCTCCTCCACAGAAGAGCCAGCTCCCCACCATGGTGTCCAGACGAGCTCTCAGAGACTTTGTGGGCCTGGAGAACTGCGAGAAGGCGACCCGCGACGCCATGCTCAACTTCAGCTTCTACCTGACCATCGGAGACATGGACGAAGCCTTCAAGTCCATAAAGCTCATCAAGAGGTGAGGCATTCATACCATCATTACAAGAGTCAGCTCACAGAGAGGAGACGTGCAGGATGGCATGCCTCTGTTCGATCGCTGTCAACACTTCTCCCAGCATTCCTCTCCACAGAAGCTCAAGTTCAGGGGCTAAATAAAGGCCACGGGGATAGCATTGTTGCTACGGCCTTGACTATTTTCACAATGCTCCACAATGGTTTGCAGTAGGAGAGCTCTACCTAATTGCTTGAATTGTTGCCTCTTGCTTTTCCTCACCCCTTATTTCATTCAGCACCTATGTCTTTGGAGGTGGACATGGAGCAAAACGTACAAATGAGGGTCATTGTGGTTCAAAATAAGTAAATACGGAGCCGAGGGAGAGGGTAAGATAGCGAGAAATACGTCGTGCTACCTATTTTTCTTTAAAGTTTTTTTTTTATCCTTACGTAATATTAACAAAACAGGCACTTCACAGGTGAATTAAAATAAATGGTGACCAATTGTTTATGTTTTTGGAAAACGTGGACCATTTAAAATACTGTAAAAGCAAAATCCAGTATCAAATAAATATATAAAGAGATATCAAATATATAAAAGTGCGTTTGTCTTTGGGTGTATCATACCATGATGCAACTATCACATCAGATCCACCAAAGCATCACTTTTATTGGTGTATGTAGGGAAATTAAATATTATTTAAAACACAGGTTAAGGACTTTTTCTGTGTCTGTGCTTGGGGAAGGAACTCTTCAATGTGTATGTGACTGTTTCTGTTAGTGTGTGGAGGGGATGTACTTTTCTAAACACACACACACACACACACACACACACACACACACACACACACACACACACACACACACACACACACACACGCACACAGTCTCCCAACCAATTTGGTACAAAAGGAGTGCCCTTTCCATTCTCGCAAACATTGACTCAGGTCACTAAAAGGATGTGCACGTCTTGTCCTGTATGTGTGTGTGCGTGCGTGGGTGTTGGGGTAAGGTTTACGTGATTCCAGCAGAGATCTGATATCATCTCTAGCAGAATACGTGATTCAGGACACTCGGTCTAAATGTTGTTATAGCGTTCCTTTCGCACTTCACATTAAAACAAACAAATAGGAACATAGCATATCCCGCTCGCCGGATATTCAAAAGAGTTTAATAGGCATGATGACAGCTTTACCAAGTTCCTCATTGATGGCTATTTTTACTGCTGCTTTTTTTCGACATTGTGTTTGATTCCCGCATATCTCCACCCACAGGAATATGCATTTCCTGCTAAAGTAACCTGTACCTTCTGGGACTTGTCTCCGTGATCTTTGAACTGATACAGGTTCTAATATAGAGAGCATATTTAATCTGGCGCTTTGCTCAGCCTCATCCCTGGATGTCCTGAATGAGAAAAGCTATGACAATTCTCCTCATCCAAAGCAAATATTTACAGTATGAGAGTCCCTTTGCCTCCCACAGCAGATACAGGTTGGAATGTCTTTATTCCGTCCAGACTGAGCTGCTTCCTCTCATTCATGTTGTCCTTGACTCTAGGTGACATGCTGCAGGGTTATCAGCCCACAATGAGTGCAAGCCTTCTCTTACTGTCTTTTTGACACTGCTTTGGCTATTGGCAAAACTCCCCCCTTTCTGCCTTAAACAAAATCACCCAAGGAAGTGTTCAGGGGTGAAGCTCAGACTGATGGATGATGTTATTCATCATAACCCGCTGTACATGTGAACCCCATGCTCTCACTGTATGCCATTTATCAAAGGGAAGAATGTCATTCACAACATTTCTTTTTGGTTGTTAGTGCTTCGTTCTTCGATTAAAGGGGCCCTAGTATGCTTTCTGGGGGTTTCCCTTTCCTGTAGGGTGTTGTATAGGTTGTTGTTAATGTAAATGATCTGCTATGGCTAAAATCACTGTGTTATCTCCAACACCCCCCCCCCTGCCTGAAACGCCTCCATTAGACTCCTTTGTTTGCTTATATAACATAGTGACATCACTATAACACTTGCGCTTCTATTCGCTAGCGCTCCAACACATTGAACTTTATGGGCTAAGGGGCGGGAGATCTCTAAGCGGGTGACCAATCACAACAGAGCAGGCCAGCTAACCAATCAGAGCAGACTGGGTTCTGGTTTCAGACAGAGGGTGAAAAGAGGAGCTGCAGCACAGGCAGGAGAGAAATAAAGAGCTTTTTGAACATTAAAGTAGGGCTGCTCAATTCATCGTATTTTAATCGCAATTGCGATTTTGGCTTGCAACGATTACGAAAACAACGTAATAGAAATAAAACGATTATTTTTTTATTATTATAATTATTATTTTTTTATTATTATTTTTTTTTTTATTGGTTTTTCAGTTGAATTATACTTAAAGTTCAGGGTAATCAACTGTTAAAAACATACTGTTCACATTTGTTTTTTAAATAAATGGATGTTTTCAAAGTAAATCGTTTTTGATAATCGTGATATCAATTATTGACCCAAATAATCCAGATTATGATTTTTGCCATAATCGAGCAGCCCTACATTAAAGCATGGAGACATGTCACAGTAGAGGCACTAAATACTAATGTGAACCTGAGCATGAGCATCATAGGGCCCCTTGAAACTATTCCTGCTTCCTGAAGCAAACAATAGAATTTCAATTTAAAATGATACACCTAACACAATATACCGTATGTAAGTTAGTATGTGAACCTAAATCTAAAAAAGATCATACATCTTAGTCTCTTACTGAAGTTTAAAGTTATACCTGTTATATCTGTCATTTTCAAATTTCAAAGAATTGAAGTTCTGTGTTGTCCATTTGTCAGGTGTGGTGTTGGACACCTTAACAGCAGCAACAACAACAAAAACAACAACCACTGCCTTTGAATATTGGCAATACATTTATTCCATTTATATAATATTTACCTTATTTAAGTGTGCCCCTATGTTTGGGTTATTTTCAAAATATAATATGCTCACAATAATAATAATAATAATAATAATAATAATAATAATAATAATAATAATAGTAATGACAACACTATTTCATTATACAGCTATATTATATTAATTTAATTACACAATATGTACCACAAGCAAGCAGAGTTTCGTATGGAAATGAAAATTGTATTTGAATCCTTTTGTCATTTCGAAATGCATTGCCCAAACATACCATTAATAACATTAATAAAAGAAATACTGCTTTAACAATCCAATTCAAATACATTCATTGGCAGGTCATATATCTATTTATTTAATTTTGTATTTATTGATTTGATGTGTTAATGACATTAAGGAAGAGTCAGATCTGTGTTCATCACCTCTCATTGGCTGTTTTAAAATGGTGTAGACTCTTCTGGCTTTTACCTTGTTACTTAACCTACTTGCAACATATATAATTAATAGTAAAATAAGTCTAAAATGGATGAAAGCAATTATGAGGTATTCTGTTATTGCATTTCTAATATATTTCATACTTTCCAATTAATAACTATGCTTGAAGCCATTTAAGTGCACACATAACGCAACAGGTCAAGTTCCAGCTTGATCTGTTCATAAGCAGGATGTTTCATATAACACCGTCCTTATCCAAATTCCATATTTAGCTGCAAATTAGCTCACCCAAGCACGAATAAATGAAACAACAGACCATTTTGAATATGTCTGGAAGTTTTAGGGCAATCTTTGGGTTATATCTATGAATTTCGTGCACCAAGCAGCAAAAAAGTCTGATAGTTATGAAATATAGAGCTTAAAATGTGCAGGTAAAAGTTAGTCCAGCTGTTGCCGAATCACAGGAAAGTCCTTTTCTCTTGAGAGTGACATTGGAGTCTCCTAGCTGTAGTGAAACGTGAGCACAGTCTAGTCGGTGTAGTCTATATCCTCTTATTTTTTCAACAAGGCGACTCCACGTAGTCATTGTCTAGGCGCGGGTGGAAAGGTGAGGCCAGTGAGCGACTGATGATTATAACTCGAGGAGCGAGGCAGTCATCGCGGCGATGTAAAATGTTCCAGATGAGCATGGCCGCAGCCAACGTGGCCAGCAGGCAAGCGGCTATGTCCAGGTAGCAGGAGTACGACAGGTGTGTGTACGGCCCGATCCTGTAGAAGGTCACGAGTCCAATCACCAGCACAAAACCTGAAAAGGAAGACCAAGAGAATAGGCCTCAGTCAGCGGAATAGCACTCATTGGAAGAAAAATAAGTAAAAAGAATGGGAAATTCCAGTAAGTTATTTCTGAATGTTCGGCTGCTTGTGTGGCTAAAACTGGTCACAGGAAAAGAAAATGGGTCCTGTGGAAGGTCAACATAGATTTGCGAAACCTATCCTAACCTTTGGCAAATCTTGGGTTACTTTTGAGCCAATCACAAGCACACATTCAGTCAGGCAGAGCAAGGAGAAGATATTATAATATCTAGTTTTATATCTCTCTGAAAATCAGACTTTTGAATGTACTAGTTGATTTTGAGAGATTGGGAGTTTGGCTTCAATAACATTTCTTTCAGACTAGTAATAAGAAAACATACTAGATACACATTACGTGTCTTTCTTACTTCCCCTTGTATGTGTGGCTATGGATTTCACCTATTTTCACTTAAAGTAAGCATGAAATAAAGCTTCATTTCCATATTAAGAAATACAATTTCATAAAACAAACAGTCTTAATATCTGTAATAAACTACAGAAGTCTCATGTTGATAACTATGAATCTTTTCTTTAAAACCCTATGTACCCGTAGTGTATCTTCTTAAAGGTACAGTCACTCTTTGAGAAACTCCACATGTTCATACAGTAAGGAGATTTCCATCCCTTAACCTTGTATTCTCGGTTCAGCGGGAGCTCTGTGTGAGGTCTTTGAATTTAGAAACACACGGCTTCCTCCTAGGAACAACTTCTGAGATGTGGAGATCAAAGTTCTGAGTAGCGTAAAAATATCAGAGCGTGAATATCTGAGCGGAAAAGCCTTTGAGACGTTTTATCTCCCGATTTCTTTAATAACAGCTTTTATCTGGTTAAATAAAGGTTAAATAAAAAATTAAAAAATTAAAAATTCACTGTCTCCACACCTTTCCTCATTCTTTGTGTATGAAAAGCCCACAATGACCAATGCTTCGGTATTCCTTGGATGTGTTCTGGAGCCATTAAATAGTCCAACAGTGATAAATGTCTTGCCCCATACTGTACACAGAGATATAAATACAGGGACTAAAAATAATCACTGGAAATGTGGATGTTGGTCCTTAAGGATATGAATCAGTCAGTTTCCTGAATCAGTCAATAGGAACCATGGGGGGAATTTATTTGTATTTCTTTCTCTAACTCTAACGTCAGCTGACTGTCATTGTTTTAAATGAGGATGTGAATAATTGTGTCTGTGTATCATTGCGTGTCTACTGCCGGGCGTACGCAAATGTTTGCTCAAGCTATTCATGTTTAACCAGTCTGGCTCCTTATCCAAGAAAATGAATAATCTCCTGTCCAGGTTCCAGGCAGCCTGGGCTGTGTGAAACTCTTTTTTGGCACCGACTTATCTCCCAAACTTCCTTCCCCTTCTTCCCCTTTCCATCCTTCCTTCCTTCCCTCTTCTCCACACCCTAAGCTTGGAGGTTGATATATTCGCTGGAAATTTGACATGATCTGTCACAGTCTTATCTTAAGGCCTGGTCTTGGAAATGTATTTCTTGGTTTGTTTTCCTTCCTGATAGTAGGTGTAATTATTTAAAAGGTACAGAATTGATTGAGCGAATAGCCTGCCTGAATGTCTTGCTTAAACTATCACTCCATTATTAGCAGGAATCTCCTGAGCCACATATTTATGGGGAATTAAACCCCACAGTTGGAATTCCTTAAAAACCAAGAGTAACGATAATGTGCCAAATGACCTGCAGTCTTGACTTTTGATATGTTAGAGCTTCGGCCATTCAGAAAACACATTCCAGAGCCGCCTCCCGGGCTCAAACAACCAATATTGAGCTTTCAGCCGAGACCTGCCAAATACGCTGAGATATCACTGAATAAGAATTTGTTCTTAATTGATTTTCCTGGCTAAATAAAGGTTCTACTACTGTACTACTACTAATGGAATTGGATATTGTTGTTCCACAGCCTGCTTGCAATAGCTGAGCATTTTGGCACGTCTGAAAATGAAAACATTCCTCAGAAAGGGAGTGATGGGTAAAAATATCTCCATTCAGTCGGAGCTGAAGCCCATTCACTGACTCTGTGGGGGAGTCCAAATTAGGAAGAGGGAATGGATTACTGATTGCTGTCCTTGAATAAATGTAGTGAAGGAAAGCCCTTATCAATGTATTTTTGAAGCCTTCACTTTTCAAAATATTCCTTTCTTTTTTTAAGACAACTAATTGTTCGTCTGAGCAACAGTCCAAAACCCTACTTTCAGGCAAATACAAAGAAAGGCTATGGGACAAAGGAAACAGCAGATTTGAGAAGCTAGCATTGGTATTAGCCATGCTACTGGTGTCTGTTGTCTAATGGCAATGCTAGTCTGATGGTTGACCTCTTAAAATGAAGAAGTCTCCTTTGATTTCTTTAGTCGTTTGGTCTTATTTGTTAAAACTGAATAACTTATTGCCAAGAAATAATAAACACATCACTTAAAAAGTGGTGCTTTTAGCATTCTCTGTGGAAAAGCTGTAATTACAGATCAGTCAAGATCATTTGAAGGTGCCATTTTTCCAGAGAGCATTACTATTTTTAGACGTCAGGGAAATAGGTGTGGTACTGTTTATGAACGTTTAGATTTGTCACGAATGCGAACATGTGTGATGTTATGATGAGGTCATGATTCTGGCCGTATGATCAAAAGAGCCATTAATGTCCACCACCCATGTTGGTGTTAATGATTTATGTTTATTTTGCCATTGTCTGTGTTAATGATGCTTTGGTGAGATGAGTTCCTGGTGACTGATGTTTGGCTGGTGCTGTTGTCTAATATTGGAAAATACTGTAATGTTGGGTGGGTCTCAATCCTCTGCCAAGGTCTTCAGATAAAAGCCCTCCTCCCTGAGACAATAGATAGAGAGGAGATTCTTTATTTGTTGCTGCTTTTGGACATTTAGTAAACAGAGACATAAAAGCTTATCTAGACAGAGTCAATTCCCACCCTGCTGTTGGACAATTCTCTACCAACACACACACACACACACACACACACAGACCTGCATGCACAGAATCCTGCCAGTGCGCACACAAACACACAGTCCCTGTCGAAACTGTCTTTCCCGTGCATTCCCCCTCCCCGCTTTTTCCTTCTTCAGCTCGGGGGTTTGCATAACAGGTAGTCACAGACATTTCCTCGTCCTGAGCAGGGATATCCTGGCGCCCGACAGTCGCTCCCCGGCTCGCTGCAGCTCTGGCCCATGGACTCTGGACTAGGACTAAATTTAGACCCCGAGTAAACCCCTTCATGCCGCTTCTGCCACAATGATACCAACCGGCTGAGGGTCCGCTGAACACAAAACAACACACTTCCTCAGCACGAGCTCTGGTACAGCCAGCTCTTTGTGTGGCACAGTGGGAAGGATGGTGGAAGGGGGGGGGGTTGTTACCATGACTGCGCTAAGTTATGTCCCTATGTACTAATGAATCACCAGGATGGCCATCGTTTTTTTTTCTAGTTCCTCCTATCTTGTTTTTTCTTATTTTAGCTGGTCTGTTGATTCCTTTGCCAAAGAGGTTTGTTGACAGGTTTTCGATTTGTAGGTTTGTTTTCCTATTGGTCAGCAGGATTATGGGAAATCTAATGGCACAATTTCCATGACCCTTGGTGGAAGTTTGTCGCATAGGCCAATGACGGACCCACTACATTTTGGAGTGGATCTGGTTCACTGGGCCGACACACTGATTCTTTTTGGAAGATAGGGTATGAGCTTGTTGGAGGTCCGCAATCTCTGGTATTTGGTTAGTTATTAATATATTTCTGTGTTTAAAGGAAAATAATGATGGATCGTATTGCAGTCATTTTATATGAAGTTGAAGTTTGTCACATTTTACCCACATCATCTACATTTTCCCATGGATTTTGACTTTCATCTCGTAAAAAAACGTGTTCTAGCCCCATTATTACATTATTTTGTTCAAATTTAGCTCAAAAGGAGAAAGGTTCCTTCCTTTTTGCTTGAGTCTTATTTTTTTAAACAATGTCATCCTGTAGTATTTGGCAGCAGAAACTAATCTTCAGTGTTTGAGCCAGTCTTGCCCCTCCTGTGATTTTATCACCTGTTTCTGGCACTCTACCAGAGAACATGTGACCTTTGCCCTTCGTCATCTAGATAAATGATGTGCATAGCTTGTAGGACAGAAGAATACTTTTGCATTTAGATCAGAAAAGTGTCTTCTCTGCTTGTCTTTCTGCTATATAAAGAAGGTGTAGTAACGCTGGTACTCACTGGCTAGCTGGAAGAGTGCAGCAATGGCCTCCTCCCACCACTGGGATTCCTGTGTGATGAAGGGCAGCTCCATCAGGCCCAGGAGGAAGATCAGCTGGCCGACAGTCAGGGCCACCGTCGCCATCAGGTTGCATGCTCGCATCATGTCAAACTGCACTTCAGGGACAAAAAGACAGGCTGTGTCATTTACTTTGCACTGTGATCTAAATGCATGGATCGGATTATGCAAGACAAAGACAAGAGGTCTTGATTTTCGCATTTGAAGTAATGTGACTTCACGGTGTTATCATGAATGGTGAGGCCTTTCTTTGTCTGACGGTAGTAGGCAGTGTTGCCCATTGTGCCCAGAAAATACCTTCCTAGACTGTATTTCCTTGAATGAACATTTCTCAATGGAGCGAAATGTAGTAACACCAACTCTGGCTGAAAACTCAAACATATAGGGTTTGTATTCAAAGCATTTCAGGAAATGTACAAAACCAAATGATCCAATTGGCTTTCAAAAAAATCGACATACTTAGAATTCTTGGCTTGTTGCCATCTGTTTCTGTTTACAGTAATACATCAGACTGACATGACTTAAAGCAAAGCACTTAGGTAGGATTCATGGATGTTGTACATGACAAGTTGATCTGTTGCATAATTTATTTCTCACAGTGAAACAAAAGTCACTTCTGCTAATAGGACGAAAAAAACCCTAGTTGTGCATTTGTTGCCGTTTAGACCTTTCTCATCTTGGATATACCAATCAACAAGTCAACCATGATGAGAAAGAGATCCGTTTGCAGGCGTATCTAGCACTCTTATGTTGAACTTGAAATCAAAACTATCTTGCAAACTTACATTTGACCGTGCTGCGGGACTCCTGGTAGCCTGAGTAGTCGGAGCCCCATCCCAGGCCTTCGCACTGCCTCCGCTGGCTTCTCCTGGCGGCAGGCTGCAGATCCTCGCGGCCCCTCTCCCCTCCGGTCGGGCACATCCTCCAGAGTCCCACACTGCGCTTGCGTCCGTCCTCCAGGGCCTGCAGCACCCAGCTGGGGGTGAAGGCTGCCACATTATTTAGCACCAGGGATAGCAGGGCTACCGCCACGGCTGCCGCCACCAGCCTCTGAACGGCCATGCGCCGCCCGACGCCCGCCACCTCTCCCCCTCCCTCGGGTCCCTCCTGATCCTCCGCGCTGTCCTGCCCGCTTTCTTGCCTCTCCTCTGGGGCAGAAGCACCAGCAGTCCTCTCCTCCTCCTCCTCCTCCTCCGCCGCCACCACCTCCTCCTCCTGCTCCAGCTGTCAGCGAGTGTTGTCCCAGCTCACACAATCGGCAAGAGTCTTGTCTTGAGGCTTAGCTAAAGAACATCTCCATTCATCCTCATTCAGGGGTTGGTTGCCATCGCAGCAGATCCTCAGCCCTCCTCCTCAGAAAGCACTGCGGGTACGCGGGGGTTAATCCAACTGTCACCTAGGTCCATTCCCGTGGCTCCGACTGGCTGCAGCTTGACTCTTGGATCCCGTTGCTCCTTGTCCTTCTTCAGTGCGTTTCCTATTGCACTGGTTGGTCTTCTGTGTGTGCAGCTGGCTTCTCTGTGTAGGCAGTAGATATGGTTTTCCCTTCAGCCACTTCACTTTTCCTTCAGAAGAGTACAGATGTAAAAAGCAGTTTGGAGCCGACTTGTCAGTTGCTTTACTGAGACATACCAAGACTGTCTCTCCACTAAAAGAGCCCCCCACTGCCTGACTTGAACCAGAAGTCCTTAAACCCACCTCCTTCTACTGTTTTCTGTCTTTCTTTCTCTCCCCTCACTCACTAGTTCTCTGCAAATCCTTGAGGTCACGGTTGAAATGTGGGGGAGTTGCCGTTCGTCATAGTCCGAGACATCAGTCTGCAACCATAGCAAGCTTTAAACAGGCAGCTCCCTCCTGCATGATCACTTGAAATGTGTGTGTGTGTGTGTGTGTGTCAGCGTGTTTGTGTGAGAGAATGTCCAAAAGACCCCCTCTTAGACGTCACTGTTGTGTATTCTTTTGTCTGGAGCCCAGGGGGCGTTCGCTAAAGTCCTCTCTCTCTCGTGTGCAACAAACACATTGGCCGCCACACTCAGCCAGCAACAGGATGTGTTTCCTGAGAGGAAAAGAGGATGGGAAGAGGGGCCAAATGTAGACCTGTTCCTTCTCTTGTCTTTCCTTTTCTGGCTCTCTAGATCTTGCCGCCCAGTGTGCAGCTAACTCTGTTTTTCTCAGCATTTTAAACTATCTCACGCTTAATTTTCAGGCTTGGTTTTCTGTGACCATATAGAGTAACACTTTGGCTAGCAGTCGCTGCTCTTGCTTTCTTTTTCTCCACTTGGCCTCCATTCCCCCCTGCCCCCCCCCGCTTATAGTAGGGCCCCTAAAGATTTGGAGTATTTCCTGTTGCCTGACTTTAATAAACAGCCCACATCTGTATCAGCTAAAGCTATGAGGAGGGAGGTGGACGCAAATAGAGACCAGATGGCTGTGGAATCTGACATTTGGAATTGAAGCAAGAGAAAAGGGGGCCGATTTACGTCAGCAAGACAAAAGGAAATAAAGGAAAGACAGACATAGAAAAGGACACCTCTCGCTTTGTGTTAAAAATCCTGCACACATGTTAGTATCTCCATATTTGTGTGCAAAATGTATTTGGTGATCCTTTCTTATAATCGTGAAAGATGTTGAAATAATACTACAGTAATGGATTTACAGGTACATTTTTGGACAGATTTGTCACAATTTCTCCTTGCATACTAAGGGTTTGGTTCTTAAAATATAAAAATAAACTGTAAATATGCGTATCTGTCAAATAACACAATGCCACTGCAGGGATCTACACATTGCGCTTACATTCGAGCCATTTCTCTTTTCCCTGTAGTGAAGCGGTGTGGGAAAACATGGCGCGGATGTGTGTGAAAACCCGCCGGCTGGATGTGGCACGCGTGTGTCTTGGGAATATGGGAAATGCCAGGGCAGCAAAAGCACTGAGAGAGGTGGAGACGGAGCCTGAGCCAGAAGCACAAGTGGCTATGTTAGCCATTCAGCTCGGCATGCTGGTAAGATGTCCAAGTATTCATGTGTAAATGTACAAAGACTCAAACAGGCTAATCGAGTGGCTTGTGTGCCTATTCTCTGTGCCATATTTATGGAGTACCTTACTTTTTTGGCTGTAGAATCTTCTTTAATTTTACATTACAGCTTTTGTAGCTTCAAAATATGACATGAAATGTTTATTTAGTGACATATTCTTCTTTCTTTTATTCAGCCATTCTTTCTTCTGTCATTTAACTTCAGACAAACACAACATACATTCAAAAACAGATAAGCAGGACGATGCAATAATGATATACAAGATAATAAAAGTGGAGAGACAATCTTTTTACTTAAAATCTTACTTTTCTATTCTTCATAAATAACCCCAACATATAATGCCACATCCTTTAGCTCACGTCCTCTTTTTAGGCCTAAGCAGGGCACCACACAGACTACGGGACTTTCCGCACCAAAAGCATTTATCTTTCCATCATCTCTTCCTGTGCTCCAATAGGAAGATGCCGAAAAGTTGTTCAAGTGCTGTCAGCGCTATGACCTGCTGAACAATTTCTACCAGGCTTCTGGCCAATGGAAGCTGGCTTTGGAAACAGCAGAGAGCCACGATCGCATCCATCTGCGCACCACCTACTACAACCATGCCAAATACCTGGAGTCTATAGGCAATAAGACGCTGGCCCTCACATAGTAAGTTACAATCTGATGTGGTTTTGTGTCAGAGATACAGTATAAAAAAAATGGTCAAATTTACAATGGAAACATAGTGTGACTGCCAACTGCTAACTGCCAACTTTCCGGCAGTGGCTCAGTCAGTAGGGGCTTGGACTGGGAACTGTAGGGTCGCCGGTTCAAGTCCCCGACCAGACCTAAAATATGGAGTGTGGACTGCTACTTGGAGAGCTCCCAGTGCACCTCCTGCCCTGCCGTGGTGCCCTTGAGCAAGGCACCGGACATCCCCCTTCCCCCCTCACTCCCATTGCTCCCCGGGCGCTGTACAATAGCTGCCCACTGCTCCTAGTACTAGACTCCTGGTACCAGGATGGGTTAAAAGCAGAGAACATATGTCACTGTGTGTGCTGTGTGCTCTGCATGTGTGACCATTACAAGAGGGTTTCATCCCTCCCTATTCTATTCTAACCTTTTTGTTACAGTTATGAGAAATCAGACACACACAGGGTCGAAGTTCCCAGAATGCTCCAGGATGACACATCGTCTCTAGAGATCTATGTTAACAAAATGAAAGACAAGTAAGTCCAGAGCTTCTCTTGATAAAAAAACATTTTTATCTGAAGATGATGTCACGTGATTTTCATACTATATGCATACATACACTAATCATGTTTTCTCTTCAGGAACATCTATAAGTGGTGGGCTCAGTACCTGGAGAGCCAGTCAGACATGGACTCAGCGCTGCGTTTCTATGAGAGAGCTCAGGATTACCTCTCTCTGGTTCGAGTCCACTGCTACATGGGCAACATTCAGAAGGTGACATAAGTTTCTATAACATTTGTAATATTGTATTAAATCAAATAATTACATTTAACTTATTTTTGGAATTAAACACAACAAACTAGCTTGCTTTCAAATATAGATGCTCTTTATTTTGTAATTTAAGTGGGATTATTTGGTCTTGACCCAAAGGTATGTATTGCAGTAGGAAACACAGCAATTGTATTGACATAGTAAGCAGCACTTTTAGTTTATTATGCTCCATAATTAAAATACATAAAAATGGGTAAAAAAAGAACACGTGCATGAGAGAAAAAACTTTTTTACTCATGGAAAAAGAAAATGTTTTACAAACTAAACGCAAATGACAACAAATATATAATAACACAGAACACACAAACTGAAGCATCGAGCCATGAGATTCAACATGAAATAAACAATTGCTTTACGGTTGTTGTGAAAAGCTTGCCAGAAAAATAAGTATTTCACTTTCATATTCAGTCAATTTCATAACTGTGGACCCTTTCATTTCATATAATTTCATAATTTTCGAAAGTATTTATTTGTTACACCAGGCATCTGAGATAGCCAATGACACAGGGGACAGGGCAGCGTCCTATCACCTGGCCAGACACTACGAGGGCCATGAAGACATCAAACAGGCCGTCCACTTCTACACACGAGCCCAGGCCTACAACAACGCCATCCGACTTTGTAAGGTAAAGCTCTCCACTGCGCAGTTTTCTCCACATTTATCTTGATGTTTACTGGCAGCAATGCTGTTTATTCTCTATTTCTTAAGCATGTTTTTTTCATTCATTGATCTTGTTGTGTTTTCTGTCTTACTCTTGGTTGGTTGTTGACGTGTGTGTATCGTGTGTACACAGGAGAACAGTCTGGATGACCAGCTGATGAATTTGGCTCTGCTCAGTAACGCGGAGGACATGATGGAGGCGGCCTGTTACTACGAGGAGAAAGAAACCCACATGGACCGAGCCGTCGCACTCTACCACAAGGTCCCTCATACATTTATTTAATTTCTGAATGACAGAGGTTACGTTCAGGTTGATGCATTCTAAATCATTCCACCAGGGGGCAGTAACAAGGCATAGGTTTTTCATGTGATGGGTCCATTTTGAGTTAGGGATATTTTACTTTAAGACTAATGGAAACAAATATAAACCAAATAACATTTAGCTGCTTAATTCACTACAATCTTTCTTATTTTGTCAGCATATTTCTCCCAAATTCCCTAAAAGTTAGTAAAACATAATGCCTAATTTGCATATTTAAACATACAATTTCAGAAAACTTGTAATGCAAAAATATAATTGACTTATTGTAAGTAATTGACTTAGGAGGATTTCTATTGGTTGAAGATGTTCACACGTAGTGTCCTACATAAGTGTGGTATTTCACAATACATATATTTAAATACTATTTTAATTACTTTTTCCACTTTCTAATTCTAGATAGGGGCCAGGGGAACACTTTCTAACAGTAGCATGTTTTTTTGTAATTTCTCCACTGCAGGCTGGTTATGTTTCTAAAGCTCTGGAGCTGGCCTTTGCCACCCAGCAGTTCTCTGCCCTCCAGCTGATCGCTGAGGATCTGAACGAGTACTCCGACCCCGCCCTCCTGGCACGCTGCTCCGACTTCTTCATCACGCACTCCCAGTATGAGAAGGCTGTGGAGTTACTGGTAGCAGCAAAGAAGGTGTTTGTTTGTAACACATGATCTTTTACACATGGAAATATCAGTTTATATGTGTGTGCTCATATGTGTCTTTTCCTTTGTGTGTGACCAAAGTACCACCAGGCCCTGGAGCTGTGTGTGACCCAGAGCCTGACCATCACAGAGGAGCTGGCAGAGAGGATGACGGTCACCGACTCAAAGGATTTATCTGAAGAGGCTCGAAAGGAGCTGCTGGAGAGGATAGCGGACTGCTGCATGCGGCAGGGGAATTACCACCTGGCCACCAAGAAATACACACAGGCGGGAAACAAGCTCAAGGTAACACTGTGGTGTGAAGGAAACACTATAGGGATTCTCTGCAAGCTTACAACGTGTTTGTATCTTGGCAAGAGGAATACTTTGATCTGTTCTGTCAACCTAATGTAGCATAATCGAAATGTGCATAACATGCGATTTGAAGGGATAGTTTAGATGATGTGGGGTTGTGTGAGGAACTTATCCATAGTCAGTCTTTTAATCACAGTAGATGGCAGTCGACACATCCCCAGTTTTGTGAAGCAGACAGTAGTTGCGGTTCAGGATCAAAGCAACGTAATGCTGTTTAAGTGGATGTTAGCAAATTGTGTTTTAGCCACCTCAAAGTAAGGCCCACGCTAGAAAATCTCTATCAGTACAGCATCAACTATTGTTGTTGTCTGACTGCAAGATTAAGCAGTGAATTCAAAACATCCAAACCTTTCTGTTTAACATATGAAATATTTGTACCTATATAATGTTTGATTGTATTTTTTCCAAACAGGCGATGAGGGCACTTCTCAAATCAGGCGACACAGAGAAAATTATATTCTTCGCCAATGTTTGTCGTCAGAAGGAGCTTTTCATCATGGCCGCCAACTACCTCCAGTCTCTGGACTGGCGGAAAAATCCAGATATCTTGAAGACAATCATTGGTTTCTACACTAAAGGCAGGGCACCGGACCTGCTGGCTGGCTTCTATGAAGCCTGTGCTCAGGTAGAGCTAAACCTCATAAGAACATCCGTCCATGTTATGTTAATTGGTACTTTCCTGGGAACAAATTGACATTAAGCATTTTTAAGCTGCTCAATTCAAGTCAGCATTCTTAAATAACAAGCATGTTCTACAGGTAAAATGTTGCCTTAGATAAACAGTAGGTTATACAATTCTACAGATGAGATACTGTGATAGATTTTCTTAGTTACCACTTTAATTGAGAATGCTCAAGGAAAATGACAAGCTTTCAAAAAGTGTATATTATATATTTGCTGCAGTTATATTTTTGTTGAAATGATTTCCTGGAAAATAGACTAAAGTGTTTGTTTGTTTGTTAGTGGTCTTTTTTTTTTACAATAATTGATTATAAGAGCTTTAAGTATAGTCAGATTAAAAATACATACAATTATAAGGTTGCTTTGAGGCAAATTATATTAATTTGAAATAGAAATTAAACAAGTTTCCTCTTTTTTATCATCATCAAGGTTGAGATTGATGATTACCAGAACTATGAAAAGGCTCTAGATGCTCTGACTGAGGCCTTCAAGTGCGTCTCAAAAGCAAAAGACCCTTCAGCGGGACAACAGGAAGTGAGACTGGCTGACCTGCAGCACAGAATCACACTCATCAAGAAGTTTGTCCACGCACGAATGTAAGAACACAACTCATACTTGTTCTCTTTTGTATACAAGTTATTTGTGTTGATCTTAATCTGAGTTTGGTCTTTTGTCTGCAGGTTGTATGTGGAGGATCCTGGTGAGGCGGTGCAGTTGTGTGAAGCGCTGCTGGAGGAGCCGGAGTTGGACCCTGCTGTCAGGATTGGAGATGCATATGGTTTCTTGGTGGAGCACCACTGTCAGCAAGGCAACTTCCAAATGGTAACACGCTTTTTTATTCGGTGAAATGACATGTTGGTTAAAGAAAATATCAGCAACCTGTCATAGGAAATGCTACCTTTTTTAGATGTATGGTTCAGGGTGTCCGCGGGGTCTTAAAAAGTATTAAAAGTTGATAAAGTATTAAACGGCATTTTCCAAGGTATTACATTTTGTAGCTTGTTTTCAATAAGTATATAAATTGTCCAAAGAGGTTGTATTCTACAGTCTGCCTGAATGTAATCATTGCGTAGGTGTGTAGTGTGATTCTGTGTAGTTTATTTATGGCATCCCGTTGGATTTGACGTCATCTGAACAGGACATCGCACGCTCGCTGCTTGATAGCGTGCGAAGGTCCGTTTACGCCGGTTGTTAAACAACATCGTTATGGGGAAATGCAAGTTAGCGTCCAAATGGTTGGAAGATAAGGAGGAAGGACAATCAATACTGTATATAGTCAATGTGAGGTAAAGTGTGTCGCCAATGTAACCGGTTAAAACTCCAAGTGACGATGAGGTCTTAAAATGTATGGAAAGGGTCTTAAAAAAGGTCTTAAAAGGTATTAAACTTGACTTCAGGATTCCTGCATATACCCTGAGGTTTCACATTCTAAAAACTCCTAAAATAAACAGTCAGCTCTTTATCCTCTTTCCATGTTTCTTCTCCAGGCCTACCGTAAGCTGGAGGAGCTCCAGAGGCTGTTGCCCTCTCAGAACGTCAGGTACTACGTCAGCCCGGCCAGCCTGGAGTCCCTGCAGAAAGAGATGGGTGTACTCATGGACCATGGCGACAACAGACCCATTGCAAAGGAGGACGATGAAGTGGAGGAGGACTTAAATGTATCTTAAATAGGTCTCATTGATCATTTTCTATTTTGTAAAACAATATAATATATTTATTTTCATATTTTTGGATTCTTTATTCATGTGTATGAAGAATCTGCATGTTCAAATGCATGAATATGCAAGAGTCTCAGACCGGGAACAACTGTGCAGTTTGGACGCTACACCAAGAGCACATGAGATTATTAAAAACACTTCCACACTCATTACGAGAGCTGACCTGAGAGAATGTCTTCTACCTCAAAAGAATATGTTTTGACCTGCAATACAGTGTGACTGAAAATCCCTAGTGTGACTGAGGACAAGTTGAAGGCATCAACACTAGAGACTATAATTGTAAAGCTTTGATTTATTTATGCTCATGTTAAAATAGATAGAACAAGATATACACAAGATATACCAAATTCTACAGAATGTTCACTATTCAAAATGTTTAACACAAGTAATCCAGCCTGTTATCTGTGAAAATCCAGTCGGCTTTCAATCCTGGAATCCTTAATTTTAGAGCTGCAGAATTGAAAAAAAACAGGTTATACCTTTGAGCTTAATTGCTTAATTTTATATCTAAGTTTTGCATTGAATGTGTGATTTTCTAGAGTTTTAATCCTGGTTCTGATCATGTGGTTTTCATGCATTTGGTAAAAATGTTTTTTTTTGTTAAATCAATGCATTAATTGTAAGTATTCTCTCAGTGGCATATCTCTGTAAAGCATTTTTCAGCTATTTTTGATAACTTGTAACAAATTCTACTTAGCACATGTGAACCCAATGTGTTAAACATTACAATGCATTGTTCTGTTACTTTAATAAAAATACTTTTTAAGAATGAATTTGCCCAGTTTGTCTTGGAAGGTTTTATAGCTGTAGAGGTATTTATATAATGTCCCTCCCCTGGGTGTTGAACCTCGAGCACCTGCATGAAAAACCAATGCATAGGACCTCTGAACCACCAATGTGTTTTTAAAACAACGAACGCCCAACTATAGGTTTTGCTGTGATGTGATTTTGAGTGAATTTGTACCTTTATGCACACAACGAGCACACAGGTATTGAGGACAGAGCATGACATAAGTACAAAATAAATCAATGCATAAATACAGGAATAAATAAATGTAAAGAAAAACGGAAGAAATAAATGTCGAAATAAATACAGGAATAAATAAATAAATGTCGAAATAAATGTATAAATAAAAATATATAAATTGAGAATAAAACAGAACACACATGTATTTATACATGTATTTTCACTTTCAATTTTCATTTAACCCTTATGTTGTGTTCGGGTCTCCCGTGCCCAGTTTCAAGTTAAAATTATATAATAACTACCCTCTAGTTTTTTTTATTGGAACAAGGCTTCATGATATCCTCCACAACAGCTATATAAACACTACAAAACAGATTTTGACAATTTTTGCCAAATCTGAAGGTCTCTAAAAAACAAAAGTGTATAATTTGGTGTTCGGGTCTGGGGAGACCCAGCAGAATTGTTTTGGGTGACTCGAGGTCAAATTTGGCCCAATCAAGATTCATCTTTGACTTTAGACAACCCACCCTTCATCAACTGTAACAATAATTTTCGCAACATGCACCTGTTCTCCCCTCCCTCTGCCAAAAAAAATGAACAAATGAATTAAGAAAATTATAAACTAAAAAAAGAAAGTGATAAAAATAAGAATTGTATACATTACTTTAAAAAAACATTCTTATATAAAACGTATCCTGTAGGCCTATAGACAGGATTTACAGTGTCAGGCTACAGATTATTTTCGTAGGAATGGGACAATTATCGAGGAAGCTAATAATCTCCGTCTTTTTTTATGTCTTGAAAAATAACATTTATAATTTACACTTTCAAAAAGTGTCTCCAGCGTCCCCAGCGCAAATGACGCCCAGTATTTAAAGTTTCTCGCAGTGATATATTTGGCTCCTAATGTGGTACTTTTCCAACTGTTGGCACAAGATGGCGCTGCAATGACATCTACCAACTTTCAGCCGCTGTTGTTCAGTGTTTCAGAAGCAGTGTCTCAAATGCTTTATAAAGGAGAGATGCTTGTTCTTCTCCAGGCTGAAACAATAAATTACTTTATCACCTATCTCATACTATAATGCAGCTGCTGAACGTTCCTTTACATTACGTTTTTTGTGATAAAATACGGGCAAAAGTACCGTAAGATAGCTGTAGGCCTATGTTAAGCCTTTTCATCCAACTGTTGAAGTTAGTGGTGAAAGTAAAATACACTGGAAATGTATTTATTTTTCACTGTCATTTCTACAGTTCTTATGGTGATGTTTCGTGTCCTCAAATATAAAGATAGGCAACACATAAAACAAAAACAGTGTTGTGTGTTGTTGAGGCCATGGCAACTTAGTGTTGGTGGATACAGTGAGTAAATTAGCTTAATTAGCCGTGGATAGTGAATACAGATGGACAAACAGGACCACCAGCTAAGTTCAAATGAGCAACTTCAAGCTTTAACAGAAGAAAACGTAAGTACAAACACTACACTGAGTTATTTCAGGCCCGTTTTGTCTAGGAAATTGGATACTGAAGTAAGCTAATTTGGCTTAATGGGTGAAATGGACTCAGGCCACAAAGTCAGGTGGTGCTATGCTAACATGCTAATTGTCCTTGATATGAAGCTGCAAAATATTGAAAACAATGGAAATCTTATGTGGAAAATAGGCCTTTCTCATATCATTGTAGAACAAGTGTTTCTGTTCACTTTACTTTAGCAGCAGCTGAGAGAAAATGAACGCCTTTTCACCAAAGTGGGCTACCTGGAGTGCAGACTGGGCTACCTGGCCAGCTCCAACACAGATCTGTCCTGCAGATTGATCCAAAGTGAGGAGGACAAACTCAAGGTAGAGTTCATGAGCATATTCAGTAAGTGCAAGTTCAATGTATATGTTCATTATAGAAACAGAATCAATTGTGTTCCCATGTTCCAGATATCTAAGGAGCTTGTGGATGAGAAAATGCAGACAAACAAGATGAGGGAGCAGTTTGAAGAAGAGAAGTTTGAGCTGAAAAACAAGGTGAGGGTTTGCTAGAAGAAGAATGTATTTGCCTAAAAAGTTGGGATTTATCAGGGTTGAATTGGGTTAACTCTTCATAATATGAAGAGTTAACCCAATTCAACCCTGATAAATTGTATGTGTGGGTATGAAGTTCATACCCACATATACAACCACTGACACTGTGATGCACTGTATTTCCACTTCTTAGCTATTGAATCAAGCCAGTGCAATAACGGAGCTTGAGATGGAGCGAGACAACTTATCCAGGGCACTCCAGTCTGCTGAGGCTTGTCTAAAAGTGGGAGAGAAGAGTGGCCAAGACCTGACGGAGGAGTATACTGCCCTGAAGAACAGTTACTTGGCTCTGGCTGATGCCCATGATAAAGAGCAGAACCAGGGTGAGAAGCTGAGTGCTGAGCTGCTGGCTCTGGCCCAGGCCCAAGACGCCCTCCGTCTGCAGCTGGAGGAGCAGCAGCAGAGCGTGGAGACCTCCACCCGGGGGCTGCATTGTGAGCTGGACCGGGTGAGGGCCTTGATCAGCAGCATGTCACATAACAGAGTCAAGGTGAGACAGTATGTTCATTATTCCTCACAGCCCTTCAGATGGAAATATAATTGGTTAAACGCACTTTTATTTTCTAGATTACTTCCTGAGTTCATGTCACTACAATAACAGGAACTTTAGGGGCTTTTGTTGTACTGGCCGACAACAAAATAGGAATGGTGTTGTTTAAACCTCTCAGATTTGAACACAGATATCGTTAATCCCAACCAGCTTTCCTTAAGAAAATGATGTTTGCCCTGGACTCTAAAATAAGCAGGGCATCTTTCGTCCATGTATCATCTTTCTCACATTTCTCTAAAATACATGCAACCAGTGCAATAGGATTTACTCTACCATTGGACATATAATACTTGTATTTTCCACATCAGTTGACATGTTCTACTCAGAGAAAAAAGCATTGGTCGTGCAAGAAATTGGGAAAAAGATCATGTTTATAAAATACATTTTCTTTTCACTTAAAGAAAATAACATTTTGGGATAAAGGTAATCTTTTATTTGAAATGTTTTACTTGCCATTGGTTGATTCCGATTGTAAACATCACTGTTTTAACAGCTAGAGAATCTGGGAGCTTTGGACAAGGAGCAAAACACTGTAAGTATTTTCATACAAAACACATACCTCAATCTTGGGAACAATGTCCAACACATATGTTTTATGGACATCAGTAAACTAATAACCTCCTTTGCCTGTTCATTGCCTGTGGGAGGTTGTGGCTCAGTGGTTAGTGCGCTGATCTTTGGTTGTTCCTGTGGGGATTGCCCACAGTATTGATTGTATGTAAGTCGCTTTGGATAAAAGCGTCTAACAAGTGACATGTAATGTAATGTAATGTAATATGCTCTCCCAAAGCTACTTGGAAACCAAGATGAGATCAAAGAAATGCTGGAGAAAATGAAAAACAGCTACGAGGAGCAACAGAAGAAACTGGAGGAGAAAGTGTGAGTATGTCATTTGATAGTGCACAAGTTCAATTTGGATTAGACATCAATATCTTTACATTTCCAGTCACCAAACAGCCAAACCCATCTCAGGATGTTTGTTCATCCTTTGATTTGTGTCCTGCACTGTGGGTTTGTTTGCTGTGTGTGTGATGTGGTCTCCCCCTGTGATGTGGCTGTCTGTGGATTTTGGTTTGCTACTCTCTTGTTGTTGAGCCTGTGTTTGGTCATCAGGGTGGAAATGGGTAAAGAGCATCAGGAGGACAAGAGAGCGATCCGTAACCGCCAGCAGGAACTGTCTGAGAGGAGTGCTGTGAGCGTGAACGGATTTCCAGAACATTTCTCAAATGATTATAGATATTATCCCTGTTAACCACCCTCTGAATGAATGTTTACTTGTTGTTATTTCTACCCAAGGCCCTGATGTGCTCTCAGAGCCAAGTGAATGAGGCGGAAGAGGAAAACTCAAAGCTGCAGCTTCAAGTCAAAGAGCTGAATGAGGAATATCGTTCAAGACTCGTGTGGTATTTACAGGACTTATCTGTGAGTTTCAGTCCTCACAAAAGCCTCTTTGCAAAGTATTACTGGACTTTAAGGGCTTAACATAACATCCATTTACATGTCTTTAATTTAGGAGTACATTGATGGACTAGGAGAAGGTAAAAGCCCACCAGAGGCTTCTAAGTTGAGGGCACACGTTGACAGCATGCTTCAGGATGTCCGTTCCTCCTACAGAGCGAGGGAGGAACAGCTGGCCTCCGCTGCTCGCTCCTATAAGAAGAGACTTCAGAAGATCACCAAGACCCATCATGGTCTCCTTATTGCGTACAGGTGTGCTTTCCTGTCGTTTGGACACGGAAAACCATATTTTATGTCCTGCGTTTAACTTTACCCAACCTTTTTTTTGCATATCATCCTTAAATGCAAAGTCATGTCTACTCGTGACCCTTTTTAAAAAGTTGCATATATACAAGTTGTGATTTTCCTTAAACAAAAACCTACAGATTAAATATCTAAAATTAAAGGAAACTTTGTTTGTAGCAGAATTGTACTTAAATGTATTTGTATAGTCATCTGTATACCCTCTACATCAACATCTAATCTTAGGATGTCTGACCCCAGGCTGAGATAAACATTTTCAGCAATACTTAAAAATTAAAATGCCTTTTAGTATATATTTGAATTGCTCAACCTAATCATTAGACCTCTCAAGTATCATTTTGCCAAATTTGATTTAAAGCAGTGCCGTTGCATCAAAAGCAAACACAATTTCAAAAGACTCGGG